CGACATGTTCGCAGTCTTTGTGTGCTACGAATAGCCTATACCTTAGCTTATTCGCCATGCTTAATCCGAAAGTTCCACACTGGAGAGCGCGAAAACGGCGGAAAAGGGCTCCAAAACTGAGGGAAATCAGCAAGTGGGCGGGTTCCTCCCGCTTTGAAGTTACTATCCCAGATTCAGGAGCGATCCTCTCGCTCCGGCTAGCCGATCTAATATCTCCACTGGCCAAGTGATCAAGTGTGACTTGTACTTGAAACCGGGAAGATCGCTCCTGAAGCTGGAGTAGTAACTTCACAGAGGGAGGAACCCGCCCATCTGCTAATTTCCCTCCAGTGTTAGAGCCACCTCTTGCCGTTTTCGCGCTCTCCAGTGTGTATTTTCGGATTAGCATAGCGAATAGGTCTAGGTAAGCACAAATTCTCAATATCGACTTCTTGCGCGGACACTGCTTTCAAGACCATATATTGTGAGGGAAAGGAAAAAATTTCTTTTTTTTTTCGTTGAAAAGAATTCGCATAACGGAAAGAGTGCTCAGCGAAACTGTGCGGTTTCAATAGGTTGTAGCGGAAGGCCCTGTACATGCACAGTATGGACAACCTCACATACAAAATAATTCTTTATAATAAAAGAACAATTTTAGTGAAAGTTGTTTTATGTGGTGATTGTCTGTTGCAGGGACATCATGCCCTTATTTGCCAATCCAAAGCTAATCAGAGAACTGTGTAGTGCAACAGCCGAGCACATTCGCAAAGACGTTGGAAAAGTCGACGCCATTGTTGGCTTGGAAGCACGGGGTATTTGTTATGATCTAGGGTAGTGATTTTGACGGAAAGTACCCTTTGAGAATTGTATGGCAAAATCATTAATCTAGGCTTTTTGTTTGGACCTATCGTTGCAATGTTTCTTGAAGTAGCTTTTGTTCCAATCCGAAAACAAGGTAAACTACCAGGACAATGTTTGCAAGCATCCTATGCAAAAGAATATGGCGAGGCACGTGTTATAGTTTTTTGCTTGCTGTATTTTGAATTTCACAATTACAGGATATCGTTGAAATACAGCAAGATGCTTTGAAACCAGGATCCAAAGTTGTGATTATCGATGATCTGCTTGCCACCGGTGGAACATTGAAGGTCGGTTTGTTTAGCTATCATGAAATCTTATGATCCGAGTTTCATTTTCATCTCTCCCGCTATCACTTATCCTCTTGATATGCAAACTTATAGGCTGCCGTCGATGTTGTTGAAAAGGCGCATGCACAAGTTGCAGAGGCTTTTGTGATTATAGAGCTCGTACCACTTCATGGACGAGAGCGAAATTCAAAAATACCGGTGACGTCTGTATTAAAATACAACGAAGCCTAACCCTTGCCCAATACTTTAGATCCGTGTTGAATTTAGAGATTAGGTTTTGTTTTATTACTCGATAATAACTACTGAGAAAGATGATGATATTTCAATGTTCATATCACTTATAAAGACGCTAATAAAGGAGTGTTTGAAAATGTAGAGACATGGGAGATCTGTGTTACAAAAAGTATGATATTTTCGAATTTTAAAGAACACGAAAATGGACTGTGAATTCGTCTTCCTGACTTCTGACGTCTTCCTTGGAAGTCATTTGCGCTGGAACGTCTTTTTCCTTTCCTGTCCAAATATCCCAGAAACTTGTTGTTTTCATTGCAATACTCGATAATAGCAACAGAAAAAGCACAAAAATTATTTATTTATGAGATTAATCACGAG